TTCCAGCTACATCCATGCTTTTTCTCCCTGAGCCAGAGCCCAGAGCAACTCCAGAAGTCCACTCTATTCAAAGCCAATTGCTGAGACCTGTCAGCATAACACCACTTAAGTCTCTCCCCACCAGGCAGGCGAGGGCTCCACAAGTCAGATGCCACAGATTGATTTGCACAGCCATAGGCAAAACGTTACATTTACACATGGGGGGTGGGGACGTGCCAGCAGGTTATTGCTATATATAATACAGGACGAATCCACCAGTCTCATAAAGGGCTGTCTGGTTGTACAGAATGACAATACTCTTCACTGGCTGGCTGAGGTCTTCATAAAAAAAACTGCTTTACTAAGGGATTGACTCAACTGTTTCCAACACTGACAACATGTAGGGGGTGCACGAGCATCCCCTGAGCTTGGTGGTGCACCCCCTGCAAAAAGGTGCCACTGACACTGCTGGCAGCGCCTGCAGGCGGTCGGGGCTTGCCACCCCCCAGCCCCCTCACTGCTGCCACCAGGAAGCACCATGAGTTACAACAATCCCCCGACCCAACAGACATTTTGTGTTGGGTCCGGGGGGGTTGGGAGATCGAGCTCCAGTTTGGAGCAGCTGCATGTCTGCAGCCTCTCTCCTCACCCTCCAGCTGTGGTGCTGTCTTCAGGATGGGAGAGGGGAAGGGAGGGGAGGGAGTTCATCCTGGGGTTTGCTCAGCTTGCTCTGGAGGTGGGAGGGGGGGGCAGGTGGATTGAAGCCCCCCCCCAAATCACCACCTCAGGTTCATTGGTTGCATGACTGGGCACTTTGAAAGCACTCTAAAGCCATGCACTTCTGTCAGGGCACAGCTGTAGAGCACTTTCAGGGGGCGATCACACAACAAAATGTCACTTCTGTCACTGCCCAGACTCCCTGTTCAGTGAGGTTTGGATTGAGCTCTAAATCTTGATGGGGCCAGTCAAATGCCAGGTAAAGACAACAGCTCCTTCTACCACAGGAATCATATGGAAGAAAGGCTGGAGTGCCGAAGAACTAGCTAAATGTACCATTATATCACTACTTTGGTAAGAAAAGAGAAACATAAACATTATTTTACCAGTATCTTTTCTTGTCCATGTCAATTTGTAATATATTCTAAACAAAACACATTAATTGACCAACCATTATCTGTTATTATCTGGCATTTACTGAATATTTAAGGGAAAATGTGATTTAATTTCCATTCAGACTGATTCATTATATTTCATGTCTGCTATTTTCACACCTGCCTCTCCTCTAATTTCACTGTCACACAAGATTTGGGATATCTGGGTAAGAATTTATTTCTGAAGCAAAACTACCAATTGTGTCTAGCACAACTGCAAATGCCTACATCCCCAGTGAGAGACTGAGCTCCAACTTTTATGGCCAAGGCCAAATGACTGAACTGCACTGACTTCACACCTGATTTCATGGGCTTAAGCAATATCAAGACCAGGCCTGTTTTCTGACACCTTAAAATTATGCATTGAACTCCAAGACACAGACAAAAAAAACTAACAGTCATACTGGTTACTTCAAATGCAATGATTCCTGTTTGTTTCTGGCTTGCACTTCGTCAAGAAGAAAGGGCAACACCATGAAATAAGTAAAAAGGACACGTACCCTGTGTATTTTACTGAGACAACAGCTTTCTCAAGCAGATAGCCAGTCAGTTCTGGCAACACTACAGTATACGCTGCTGGCTCTTAACTAATGTCGCTGCAGAACCCTGAGCCCTTGATGACTCAGCTCAAAAATTTACCTGCAAAACTGGCTTCTCACATCAGCACTCAGGACAGAACCTCTGGAGAAAACTTCATGCATGCAATGAGGTGTTTCACATTGTCTAACCCCCGCTATACCAGGCTATAGGGTGATGCATTTGATACTTGGCATCAATATTCCTAGAGTCCACTGGTTACTTTAAGAGGTGTCGCAGGGGTGAAATGAATAGACCTCCTGTGCAGTCATACACCCAGTGTTAACTCATCTGAGAACCAATGTACATTTAATTTCAGTTATTCTTGACTCTTATGATATTGGTTTAATTGAGAGTTTAATTGATTTAACTGATTCAGAACAGACCTCCAAACTACCAAGGCAAACTGTGCACCATTAAAACTCATCTGAAATCCAATGGGATATCATCATTGTAATGCAGAAGAGGATTTGGCTCACCAACCTCAACATAAAAAAGCAAATAGGTTTGTAATTCTAAATTGAAAGTGATTTCCCTAACATCTCAGATGAACAAGTTGGGCAACTCAGCAACTCACTCCAATCATCAACATTTACCATTATGATACCCAAGAAGGAATTACTATGCCATAGCAAAACACCTCGTATTGGCCCAGGTATATGCCTGAGATGGTTTAAGACAAGGGTGGCCAACCTGTAACGTGTGCCATAAGTGGCATGGGCAACCTGTGTGGGCACGCAGAAGATTGAGGAAAGGCCAGGCAGCATGGCAGATAGGGCAAGAAGCAAGTGCAGAGCAGCAGATTGGGTGAAGAGCACAGAACAGACAGCAGAAAGCAGAGCAGCAGATCAGGCAGGGGAAAGGGATCATACTGACACTCAAGGGAGGTACAAGGCTAATTTGTGGCACACCTGCCAAAACAGTTGGCCCCAGAATGATTTAAGAGTAGCCCATCCTGTATCTGTGTAGGTGGTTGGAAGAAGTGATGACTGAGGTCCCTTCTAACTATGACCAACAAATAGTTATTATACAGAAATGTTCAGGCAAAGTAGGCCTGCCTTGTTGGGGTGTTGTGCATTCAGAGTTAAGCTGAGTAAAATAAGTGAGCTTGTGGATGCGTTTCCTGGCTTGTTTTCTCCTGAGAGTCATTAACATACTGGGACTGGACTAGTACATTAGAGATGACTAGGAGGTGACAAGAGGGGCCTTGTGTTCTACTACATGAAGCAGAGCAAACGGGAGTAAATAGGGACCATACTCATGAGAAAAAAGTGAGACTGTACAAAGAGACAATGTAAAAACACATACCTATGTATTGTACACATTTCTTCCAAGAACCATAATAGCAACTGAAACACACAGGCCTAAGTTAAAATAAGCCCCAAGCAAAGAGCAGGGGAGGGAAGATCCAGACCAAGCACAGCCTGGCCCATTCATTCATTCCTGGAGTCCTATCCAGGGCAGCAGCAAGAGTTGGAGCTGGGGCTGAGCCTTCGATAGACTACATGGGATTAGGCTCGAGCAGCTCCTGAGGTACTTGGTGGGGCAGGACTAGGTGGGATGTCACATTTGTGCTCAGTGGAATCCTCCAGATGGAGGCAGGCTGGTTGGTTGCTGGCTGGATACTTGGCTTTCCCACCCAGAAGTTTCACTACAGGTGGGTTTTACGGTAATGACCCAGAGAGGACTACCTCATAAGTGGAAACCATCTGCAAGAGGTGCTGATAGCTGCAGGGTGAGGAGTGGGGGCTGTGGATTTCTCTGGGAAGCCATAGCTTCTTTTCCTCCTTGGAGCAGTTATTTCAAGGCTCCTTCTTATTTCTCCACCAATGGGGAAGCAGAAGCTTCTGTTTTCCTCTCCCAACTGGCCATTGCACATAAGGGAGAGGAGGAGGAGGATGTGAAAATCCCCTTGGAAGGCAGCTCTTAACACCTAATAGCATGAGATAACTTCTGCATCCCAAAGGGATTAGCATCTCTGAAACCCTTTGCCATGGAAAAATGTTTCTCTATACACTGCACCTATTCTGAGTTTACTGTTGACTTTTCCAACAACTACACTAACCTAGTGCATTCCCACAGTGCCAGAGTAAACAAGGTGCTAACACATTATCACGGTTTTATCTAGCCCTGATCAGAGCAGGTCTGGACAGAACAGGAGTTCAGATGCCAATGGTTGGTCTACATTAGCACTTCCTTTGGTGGAGGTGAGTTGCGTATAGCATCAGGGCAGAATGCTCAGTGTGGACAAGACACGTGAAGAGTTAAAGACAACTGAAATATGGTGCAGCAGTTAGGGACTTGAGCTCAATTCCACTACAAACAGTGTCAGTGTAATTAATGCTTATTAGAAGTGGGTTCCACCAAGAATATTCAAATAACAATTATAAAACTATATACATGTACAGTTAAAAAGGGGACTCATTTTTAAACAGTTTTCATGGCTTAAAACAGACTGATATTTTAAAAAGCCTATTGTTTTAAATCGAAAGGAACATTTGGTAAGTGGAATGACACCCTTTTGATGGTGCACTCATCAAATCAATGAAAGCATACCCATAGCGTCTTATCAGCCCTGACTAGACAATATGCACCCTGGGGCAGGACACATCTGCTCCGGACCTTTGCATTTCTTAGGCCACTCTAACCCTCAGTGGGCACGTCTACATGAGACCTTTATTGCAGAGTTGCATAATTAACTCCACAGTAAAATGTCACCATCTGCACATGCAATGTTATTAGGACAGAGTAAACTAATTAACTCTGCAGTAGGATAGCACTGTCAAACACAAGTACTGTCCTATGGCGGAGTTATTTACTTTGCTGCAACGCACATATAGATGCTGATGGGGCTGGCTGGGGCAAGAGGGTACTTCAGTGTGGAGGCTGTCTGCTGGCTAGCCCTGCACTAAAGCACCCTCATGCCCTAGCCAACCCCTGCCAGCATGTTGAGCCAGGTCAGAGCAGCCCCAGGCTGGCAGGCTGACCCCAAGACCACCTACCAGCCAGGGGCTCAACATGCTGCAGTCCTGGGCATGTATTCGAATGGCATGCCTGGGAGCAATACACTCTGGTGCAAAATGTGCCAGAGTTTATTCAACTGCCTTAATAGCACGTGTAGACGTGTCCAGTAAGTAGCTGAGATGGATCTAACAGTTCACAGAATGAGAACTGGCCTTCTGCAGCATGCCAATTTCCCTCTGAGTATTGACGAATGAATATACACTCCAGGGAGTGCAGCTCTTGATGCGTTGGTCCAATGGAAAGTATCCCCTTATCTACTTTTTTTTTTTTAATCTAAGTCCTAAATAGCTACAAACATTTTCTGCATCCTATACATTGCTGGTTCCTTCCTGTCCCACCAGCCACTCAGAAGGATCAACCAGTTAAAGGTGAAAGAAGAAACAATTTCTTCTTTCAACATTGTTAAATTCAAAAGTGTTATTAGTACAAGGGATTTTAAAAGTTTGAAAGACAGTAGATATAAAATCCCCAGCCTCTCCTCCCAATTAGAGCCTTTAGAACAGTTCATCCTTTTTGTTGAATGATCACGACAAAGAAAATAATCTGTTCATGGCATAATATCACAAAGGTGTGTGGGATATATGTCTTTGGAAAAGAGAGAAACGCATTCAATATTTCTCAGTATACTATGCTATAGTCAATTGGACCAGTAAAACAGTCTGTAACATTCATTCAAACATACATCTCCATAAAGGATAAATTATGCAACTGTACAATCTATCTTTCTACGGCAACCTTAGTTCTACAAGTGCTCAATCATTATAGATATACAATAGTGACATAGATAAATAACCATAGTGTGTATATATAAATGGGTCCTTTCAGAGCTATATAGGTTTTTCAATAGTTCCCACAATGCTACATTCATGCTACCAGGTTCACTGAAGTGGGGTTTTACTTTGAACAAGAGAGGGAGGGAGCATTTTCTCATTCTTCATTTAACGATGTAAGCAACAGCCCAAACCATCCAAGCAAACTAGGAAGTGAGAGGGTCACGGAGGGATGCAATTTTGTATCAAAGTTTTAATCCTGTCACTGTCCTTTCACTAACATAATTAACACATCCTCTTTGCTATGATAGCACATACAACACCTAACTGCCAGTAGTGCAGCTAAGACGAGTTAGCATGCCAAATATTAGTTCACTAATATATATCTTTAAAAAAAACCCAAAAAACCCACACTGGCATGTTCTTCCAAAAGCACCGGGATAGTGCCAAACATCCTCTTTGATGAAGTCTGAAAACCTGTAACATGGTCAACCAGAACAGGAGTCAGCCCCTCAGTGAACAGCAGCTTACAAACCACCCTGAGGTCAGCCTGGCACCAACTGGCAAAGAGGTCAATTTTTTTGAGAGCTGCTCATAAAGGGTCTACAGAATTTTCAAGAGGAGATCTTTGAGCTATTTGGTTTGGCATGTTAATTTTCAGTGATTGCAAAATATCCCCACCCCCCACCAGTTACTTACCTACTATACGTATATTATTTCTTAAAGGTTTGCTATAAAAATGTCATTAATGTACATGGTTCAGCAGTTTTAGCCAGAGGCCTGCTCCCCAATGTTACAATAACACACGGGGAAGGGAAAGGAAAAGGGATATTCTACAGATCAGAACAAACGTTCTTTCTTAACTATTCAAAGGAAGGTTTGTACATGTATTTTTTTTCTTCACTGCACAACCAACTAGTTTTAGACACTAATAAATCAGGAGACCAAGGTAACTCTACCTGGTTATTCTCCAGCATATTTTACTTCTCTGAGAAACAAATTGTGTAATCTCCCAAAATAGCCAGGGTGACCTGTGGAGACTACAAGAATATTTGTCCCTTATACACACAGGAGACTAGAAGACTAAAAAAGAAAAAGTAAATATATTCCAAAATATATACTCAAAGATAGTAAGCACAAATCTGGATTTTAAAAGCATAGCTGCTCACAAATAAGAGCTATGTAATCCATTTGTCCCAGACATGAAGGATTTGGACGGGAGAGCTGAGATCTACAAGTGGGTTGATGTATCGCTAGAAAAAAATGGAGTTTACAAGTCAGCAACTGGCAACTACATGAATGGGGAGAGAACCAAAATTGTGCTACTAACCAATGCTACAAACTTCAAGAAGCATTTCATTCAATTCTTTCAAATGCCTTTGCATATAAATCTCTTTTGAGGATTTCTCATATTCAGATAATCCTCTGCTCCACATTGCTATCTGGAAGAAGACTTCATCTATCAAAAGGCAGCAGTAGACTGAAATGACAAATCCTTAACATGGCTATTGGCTTCTCATTCGTGATCAAATCTGAATGAAACGGACCAAGATTCCCCTCAGTCACACACTGTATTTCTAACTTAAAAATTCAGCAAAACTAAAATCAGCTAGTTTTGTAAGCAGCAAAGACAAAGTAACAAAGTTGTGTCTAACTGGAGGAGAAATATACATTTGTGAGAACACATACAATTAGTGCAACACAGCTACTCTGAAATTAAAGAGAAAAAACAAACAGGATTGATCAATGTAGCAGACATGCAGAGTCTGCTAAGTTATGTTAAAACCATGTTGCTGGTGATTAAATATGTCTACAGAAGATATATTACTATTTTGAATATATTTTCAAGCAGACCAAAAATACCTCATCTATTGGTTACTGATGTGTTATTTTTTAACTATTTAAATATTGGAGGGGTTCTCCCCCCTCTATTTTATAAAAATTGCACTTATTTTCTATTAATCCCAAAAAAAGTTAAACTTCAATTCTGTTTCAGTATATATTCACATTAAGTTTCTGAACCTTCTTGATCAAAGCTTGCAGGAGTAAGCATGGCATTCCTTGCCTTCAGAGTTCCTTGGCACAGCAAACGGAGCCACTGGGAAGCTCCCACTCTTCTAGCTCTGTGCTTAAGTCACTGCTTTTCTGTAGTGCAAGGATTATTTATTTTTATTTTTATTTTAAGAAAACCTGAGCTCTAAATGTCTTTAAAAGGACCTGGAATCGATTCTGGCCCAACATGACCCAAAACAGCTCAGTCCTGCAAGGAACTCCATCATGTCCCCTTTTCACACAGCTCTTTCTGAGAGACTATGGCTCTGGCCTGAGGTGTATGAGGTGTCAAACCATCCTCTTCGAGTCTCAGTCTTTGTCGGACAGACTTTCCTCCTGGTAAATTTCTGGCTGCTCCTCCTTCTATCCCTTCAGCACCACTGCCTCCTGCAGGGATTCCAAGGGCTCCTCCTACCAATAAAAAAGTCTCTCTGCAGCAAGCATGACTTCTCAAATACTGATGATCAACCTCCTCTTGTAAAGTCTTCTCCAGCTCATAAAATGTCATCATAATCCAACAGTTTGGAGTGCTGGCGGGTCTTCCAGAGGCGGTAAAGGCGGAAGTCAAAGTAAGTCTCAATCATTTGCTTACCTAGGAGAAGAATGAAGACAAAGGGCAGAGGTTACCACAGCCGTGCAATGGGCAGAGCAAAGACCAAACAGACTGTAGCAGCCGACAAAATCAATCCCAACCATTTCATGTAAACACCTCCTCCTCATCCTCCTGGAAGAGTTCATCTGCATGTTTCCCAGAAGGACACTGCTAACAGTTATCGTTTGTCCAGGATGTCCCTCACCCTGTCTGAAAATGCCCAGGAAGGTAATGATCCGATTATTTATCCTCAAAACTGGAGCTGCCTCAAAGAGCTGCAATAAGGGCTTCTCTTCCTACAAGTGCTTGCCTTTGTGCCTCCTCTGTCTCTGTGTCCCAGTCAGTTCTTGGGCTCTCTACACAGACTGCCAGCCAAGGTGACCATTAGTGGCTGATGAGCAGGGAACCTGGTTTTCTCCGATTTAAAAAAATCCCTAATTTTCAGTTTAAAAAGGTAACTCCAAATCCGCATTTTTCCGTGATTAAAATGAAATGTCACTAATACAGACAGACAGACAGACAGACAGACAGACAGACAGACAGACAGTGGTGTTTCATTTTACTCATGGAAAAATGCAGATTTGGGTTTACTTTTTTTACACCGAAAATTAGGGATTTTTTTTAAAACAGAGAAAACCAGGTTCCCTGCTGATGAGGGCACAGCATACAACTCACTGTAGCTCTACAACCCAATCTGCGAGAGATCCCATATCTGGGTCTTACCATAAACCCAACAAGAATTTGAGAACCAAAACCAGGTAAGGGGAGGAAGGGGAATCTGGGGGCTGGTAACACAGACCCTTCTCCTCACCTGAAAAGCACTGTAAAATGGATTTTCTTCAGGCTTATGTTAGGTCTAGTTTCCCTAGGTTACAGGGAATTTGTAAGGCAAAAGGCTATGCTAACTGACCACATCTGTTTTCCATAGCAAAGAGTTTGATTTGGCTTTTTGTGTGAACGGCTTTTGTATCTCTGACTAAACTACTTCACTGGACAGCAGCTTCACAGAAACCCTCACAGGGGCTAAGGCCAGGGCTGGCCAATGCAGATGCGCAAAAGCAAAAAAATCCAACAAATCACAGAATAAACAATCCTAGACTATAAAAGGCAGAAGGCAGGGAAGGGATTTTCTCTTTCAAAGCTGATTAAGATCAGTTTGAGATGACTCTGTGATGGGTAGCAAGGGATTAGCGTCGTTACATTGTTCGTGTATTCCAGATTTATCATGATGGGGAAATGATAATACAGCCTCCACCCCCATTTCCCCATGGAGCCAAGCATCAGTCTGCTAGACACCACTCACATAACGTATTCTTCACAGAACTCGCAGTCGTTCCTGCCAGGCTGTGAAAATTGACATTTAACAACTTGCCTGCATGAATAGCTGCTTCGCCTGCACAGTTGCGTGGCTTCACTATGGATCCTGGGCACGCACTTTGAAGTTTGATGGCCCACCCTACGCAGGAGGCACATAGTGCTTCCTACAAAATGCTACATACAGCCCCTCCCTGCAAGGGTGTTCCATTAAAATCAGTGGGAGTAAAAGATGTCCTCAAAAATGGTCAGGGGGAAGTAAGCACTTTGCTGAGTCAGCCTTATTGCTAGGGATCTACCCACACTGAAGAGGCAGGCAGCCAATTTCTTGGACAGATCGTGAGGCCGTTTGCACGGGCTTATCAGGGTGAGGCCCCTCCCATGCCTCTGATTGACTGAGGGGTCCCAGTGGCCCTGCCCCTTTCTGCTGATTGGTTGAGAGTACTGTTGGTCATACAGTGCCACCCCTCACTGCTGACTGGCCGAGAGGGCTGTCTGTCATGTGCCCCTGGGGAGACAGCATTTTATTTTTAGTAAGCATTTTTTTCTGGATTTCATGGACATTGCCCAATTTCATAGGCAATATCTGATCTTGCGATTTCTGTGAAATCTGTGACACTGCAAATTGAGTAGGTCCCTACTTATTGCCCTTAATGCTCCTTGAGGGTGACGCTGAGAACCTTCAAGGCCGAGATGCTCTAATTAACTATGCAGGCTTCCTTTACTAGAAGCTGGGCCTGAGTCATTTTATGGGTTCAGCCTCTGTGCCCAGTCTATTCCATGTCTCTACCGGGGCTATATGAAAAGGACTATGGGAACTAGACTTGAGTCCCAAAGCTGCCTGGTCCAGCAGTTAAATGCGTAGAGTGTGTCTAGAGTAACACTGCACAAGGTCATCCCAGGAGAACAAAAATTCCAAATGGAGCAGACAGATCAAAATCACAACACATGTCACATATGAGGGAAAGGGAAAGCACCCATAGCTTCTAAACTCTCTCAAAATACAGGAAAAAGCATCTATACAAAGATGAGTTATCTTCAAGTCCTTGGTTGACAAAGGAAGCCAGTATGGCATTAGTGCTGGCTTCAGTATCCTGTGGAGGATAAATGACCACAAACATCCTTAAGGACCACATTCCACTCCCAGCTTCACATGAATTTCTCTCCTATTGACTCCAGCATGCTCCAGTAACATAACGCATCTCCTAAACTATAACCACAGCAGGGTCAGTATTAGTTATGGAATATTTTTGTTAATCTGCCATTGGCATTAGCTCTGGAGAAGGCTAGCTAGCTGCAAACGTAACAACAGATATAATTGAAAGGAAAACATAGCAAGGATGGGAGAAGAATAAGAGAGATAAAACCAACAGACAAACAAACAATGAGGTTATTAAAACCAAAAGAAAGACCAAATGACTTCTTTTTTGTGGTGGGGCATAAACAATTTCACTGGTGCTTTGGGAAGATGATCCTTTCACGAGGCAGTTATGCTTAAGGAACACATACACACACTTACCCACACACTCACCCACTAGCGTTTATGGCAAAAGAAATTACCTTGAGCTGAGAGTTCAAGTGGAGACTCAAAGGCAACCCTATAAGGATTCATTAGATTTTTCAGATTCTGAAATAGCTGAAATGAAAAAAGATATTAAAAGTTTGGAGCTAAACCCAAAGAGATGCTTAAAGTTAAATGACTTGCTAGGAGGGCAAAAGAAAGCATGAGAAGAGAGAACCAAGACCCTTTAAAACAGCAAGACTCTGCCCTTTACTTTAGCCTGCATTGGACCTCAGGAGCTGTGCACATACTTACTGCTTTCTCTGGGATGCACAACATCTGCAGAGCAGGTAAATCCATAGGGAAGTGGGACTGTAAAGAGAGCACCCCAGCCCTTACTGTGAGAGGAGAAGGCATTCAACCAAGGTGCTGGGCTCTGTGACACTGCAGCAGATTCATCCACTGAGAGCCCCCAATGGTGCCCCAGGGAGCCCTTACCTTCTCCCCATTGGGGTTTCCCAGAACGTAGCAGCCCATGATGTGAATGAGATTTGGCTCAGGGTTGATTTTGCTCATCAGTCGGCTTAGCTTCTTCCAGAAGCTGGAAGAAATATAAGGAAACAAAATACCATATTTATTCAAATACAAGACAACCCTGATTATAAGGTGACCACCCAGTAATTAGATTCTATATGTGGAAAATTTATAAATTTGTTATAATTTTACAGGTACAGAATGTAATTATTAGTTTGCCTTGAACTGGTCCCCTTCCCACTGCTATAGCAGGGAAAATAAATCTGGGAGATCAAACAGCCTCTTTGCTTCCCCCCAACCTTTTCCCTTGGTAACCGCTTCCCCTTTTCCTTGCTGTCAGACCCTGCTCTCTCCGAGCATGTGAAAGTGAGGAGCAAATTTGAAGTCAATGACCTTGAAATTAAACATGACTGTAGCAATTTGCATGTAGCACCCACATACTTAGTTCATCCAGAACTGATGCATGTTACCCTTTTTTTCAAGCTCCTTCAAGTTTTAGCACAAGTATATATATATATACATATATATTAATATTTTATTATATATTATATATTAATATTATATTAGACATATATATTAATGTCATGTCTCAGGCCAAATTAGACAAATCACAAATCAGTTCCAAATTCTATCCACTAGTCATTCAAGTCTTTGAAGTGCTACCACTGACAAGTATCCTATTTCCCATACCCTTCAGCCTGGGGCTTCAAATATTCTCAAAGTCATGGCAGGCATCCAGTAGTTCAAAGCCAAAAGGTTCATGATTTAACACACAGTTCACTGGGCTGGGCTTCGCTGGAGTCAACAGCATTTCAAGCCATGGTGAACCACGACATGCATACAGTTGACCCCAAATCCCTATCTGGAGTATATACACATACTGAGCACTGCTGAGCTGTGGGATCACCACACAGGGTGTGGCCACACTAAACGTATGTGCCAGGCTGAGAGAGGGGGCAACAGAGAGCAATGGTAGAGCCACAGATGTGAATGACTGAACTCCGATCAGTTGAAATTTGGAACTTGACTATTGCGCTTTGCCTAACTGAATCTGAAACCAATATGTCCCTTGAAATGAAATATTAAAAACATATATTTTATAGTGATGCTCAGTTTTAGCTGCGTTTACACAGCTTTATAGTTGGTTTCCATTGCTGAACACATGGTGCGTTTGGCAGCAGTTTAATGATAGGCAATGTATTTCGTGAAATTTCCTTGTACGTGATTATAAGACAAGAGTCTTTTTTCCTCATGCTAATTAAAAAAACCCACCTTGTCTTAGAATCAAGTAAATCTGGTAAGCATTTTAATCCATCTCCTTTGCACATGATCATCTACATACACGTGTGCACAGTGCCCAGAAACTAGCCCAGCCCTAGGGAGGCCAAGGTAGGGCCAACCCTGCAAGGTACCCAAACCCCTCACCTCCTAAGCTATTTTGTAAGATTTCCCACAAGAAACCCTATATGCCTGTGCTGCCCCCTGTCCATAAGTTGGGTGTCACCTGCCTGCAGCAGAAGAGAGCCCCTGCATACACTTTAAGTCTATTGCTCTGGATCGGCTGCAGTGCAGAGCTCCCAGAGCAAAACTTGTGGAATTATTCACTTGTGGCAAGAAATGGCATCTTCCCCCAGAAAACTTCTACACCCAGAATCTCTGCCTCCATTACACAGGACAATGCAGCCATGCTCATTGTTCTTCAAGACTGATTACAAGTCTTTTTCATTTCAATTTTTGTCTGAAGTTAGTTTATTTTAATTATTGTCCCATTCATCCATTTCCTTCAATTTCCCCCCTCTCTCTCCCTCCCGACACAGATTCTGCATATCTCACGTTAGACCCACGAGTTTTAGAGAGCAAGGCTATGCAAACTTCTTTGCAAGGCTTCACCCCAGAACTTCAGATAAAGCCATAAAAAGTAACACTGACTGGTTCCTTGACAACCTCATTGTTTAGGTACAAGGCTGTTTACTGAGATTTTGGTGGTCCAAGTATAGTAATTAAGGGCCCAGACAGACACTACCAGCAGACAGGACTTAAGCTGAGCCAACACCAACTCCCTTGGTATTACCATGCAAACAGATCAGAGACAAACAGATCAGAGACACTTCAACACAAGCATGGAAAGTCATAAAGCAACTCACAGGATCATATCTTCCTCCTTCTCCACTTTGGCAAAGGTGGCAACTTTGTTTTTCAACAAGTATAAGTGGCCAGGACCCCCCTGCAAGGATAAAGGTAGACATAGCAAACTACCCTGATCCCAGAAAATTGAACAAGCCGTGTGTGCGTGTGCGCGTGTGCATGTGTGCATCTCACTCTCATATCTAGAGTTCTATACAACGGTTTTGAGATGCCCCTTGGGAGGCCAGAGCAGATATAATGGGCTCTCCATTCTGCAGCTGATACTAAAAGTCCTGCAGCAGGTTGACCTTGCCCCAGACAAAGGAATGAACAATGGGGCTCTCCAAAGACAGGGGGAAAAGAGCCAGAATCATAGAAAATTAGGGTTGGAAGGGATCTCAGGAGGTCATCTTGTCCAACTCCCTGCTCAAAGCAGGACCATACCCAACTAGATCATACCAGCAAAAGCTTTGTCTAGTTGGGTCTTAAAAACCTCCAAGCATAAAGATTCCACCACCTCTCTAGGCAACCTCTTCCAGGGTTTTACTATCCTCCTACTGAGAAAATTCTTCCTAATATCTAACCTAAACTTCCCTTGCTGCAACTTGAGACCATTGCTCCTTGTTCTGTTATCTGCTACCACTGAGAACAGTCTAGAGCCATCTTCTTTCAAACCTCCCTTCAGGTAGTTGAAGGCTGCTATTAAATCCTCTCTCAGTCTTCTCTTCACTAGACTAAGCCCTGTTCACTCAGCATCTCCTCATAAGTCATGTCTGCCAGCCCCAGAACCGTTTTTGTTGTCCTCCACTGGACTGTCTCCAATTTGTCCACAACCTTTCTGTAGTGGGGGGCCCAGATGTGGCCTCACCAATGCTGAACAGAGGAGAATAATCACTTCCCTGGACTGGTTGGCAACACACCTACCAATGCATCCCAGTATACTGTTAGCCTTCCTTGCAACAAGGGCACGCTGCTGGCAAATGTTCAGCTTATTGTTCACTGTAACCCCTCGGTCCTTTTCTGCAGAGCTGCTGCCCAGCTAGTCAGCCCCCAGCCTGCACTGGTGCATGGGATTGTTTTATCTGAAGTATGGGGCTCTCCACTTGTCTTTGTTGAACCTCATAAAATCCCTTTTGGCCCAATCCTCCAATTTGTCTGGGTCACTCTGAATTCTAGCCCGACCCTCCCACGTATCTACTACTCCCTCCAACTCAGTGTCATCTGCAAACTTGATGAGGGTGCACTCTATACCATCTTCCAGGTCATTGATGAAGACATTGAACAAAACTGGCCTCAGGACCAACCCCTGGGGCACTCCACTTGATACCAGCTGCCAACTAGACCTTGAGTCATTGGTTACTACCCTCTAATTACTAGGAGTTGACCAGGAGTCTCTGGAAGTAACCCACTGGTTAGTAGTTTGAAAATACATTGGTCAGGACTCATGATTTGAATTACAGCTGTGTCCATATAACAAATAATAAACATTAACACCCTATATTCTCCATGCGATTTTTGCTCTGTCCTTAGTCAGAAATTATTGCTACTGATTTGAATGGCAACTTTCTCAAGTAATAGCTGAGGTAACAGCAGAGTAATTCAGGTATCTCACTGAGGAGCCAGAAGTGCAAGTTTGAGTCTTGCTCTGGATTTGTGTTCAAGGCAGCCCCCAGCTGACCCAGCCAAAATGAGTGCACGGTTAACCAGTCTGGAGAGTTAAAGGCAACTGAACATAGCGGAAAGCTAGCTGCCTCACCCTGTTGTATGCTTTATCATGCCAGCCTGAAGGGCCGCTGAGGACAGACCTTTGACCAACAGCTGAATAAAACATGAAAAAAACGCTTCAGGGTCTTATATATAATGTGCCCTTCTCTTCCATGAGCACCACCAGAGGGACTTCTCCCTGAGAGAGGGACCACGTCCCACGCACACACAGATGGAGGTGGAACAATGTCTCAACCTACACTTCGCTTTTTCCTCCCCCTCTTTCCCCAAGGCATGAAGCACCCTTGAGAAACAGCCCTTGTGCTCCGAAGCATGGGGTCTACAATCCTGCTCAGCTCTTACAAAAGCCACATGCAAAGGGGAAGGCTTCCTTATAGCTTCCCACTCCTAACTGAGTACCTGAATGGAGGCTAAGAGGAATCTCACCCTTTATCTGCCCATTTAAACTGCTTATCAACACTTCCTCTAATGCCCTCTGGACCATCTGGATCTGGCCATGCCCAGAACCACCCTACTGGGCTAGATGGACCCCTGCCTGATCCAATATTTTTCTGTTTCTATGTGAAAGCAAAATGCAGGAAGCTTTATGAAAACAATAAATAACTATCAGACTCTAAATACTTGGTCCTTTTTCTGTGAGCTTCCTCAGGAGGCCTTCTCAGAGGTCAGCTTGCAAGGGCTTTGAAAGAAGATGAAAAGCTTCCAGTGCCTAAGCTTTTGCTGCGCTAAGACAAATTTTCTCTGCTGCCGTCATAGCGAGCTAAAGACACTTGCTGGTCGATGGATGTGAAATGGGAATTGGATAGATGTGATTACTTTAATAAAACCTGCTGCAGACTGGCTTTAGAATATTGTTTTTTGTACTTAATTTGTCCCTGTAGAAAACACTGTTTTTTAACAAAGTGCCAAGGGCATCAATGCTTTCATGTACCTGACAGAAAATCAGCATCTTCCAGATCTTGCAGCCCTTCCGATAAATGTTCAGCTTCTTCTCTATTTCCTCTGTAGAAAAGTAGGAACAGTACCAGTGAGTGAGCCAAATAGAGAATGGAAAAGATACACAAGACACATTCATGAACACTCACTTGTGTCTACACACTGTGGCTCTTCTACAGAAGATATATTCACTAGCACTCATCTGCATCTATTTAGTAAGGCGCCATGACCTGAATCTGAGTGGTGCTAAGGACCCCCATTTCAGGCTGATTTTGAATCAGCCCCATGTTTTGTAGCCTTGCAAATCAGAAAGCCAGCGCAGGATTTCCAAAGCAGGAAGAGCAGAATGGAACCGCGTATAATGAGACTGAGTCATTAGAAGCACCGGGCCAGGACTCGGGAGTCTTGGGCCCTATTCCCAATTTTGTCAGTGGCCTATGAGATGGCCTCCCTGTACCTCAGCTTCTCCATCTATAAAAGAGGGATAATGATACTACACTCCTCTGTAAAGCAGTCTGAGCTCTACTGATGGAAAGTGCTATATGAAAGAGAGGGTGAAAAAGAAAACAAAGCATACCAAGAATGTCTTCAAAGGTGGCATGTTCATGATCCTAGAAATGAACAAGAAGGACATTTCAAACACATTTTAATTACTTGTCATCTCTTTTCATGCAACACTGTGCAGTGTTTCACTAAGGGGTAAGCAAATAAGCTGGAGTTCAATTAGACAAATTGGGTGGTCTCACTCAACATGACAGAAATGCCTGCCAAGCCAAGGGACCTAGGTAAAATGCCCTCAAAACCAGTTACAGTTTGTAGCATGGTGAGCCCCAGCCTCTATTTCATCAGCCACCTCATATCTCCAAGCAGACATGTAGCCAAGGCCCTATACAGCTAAATAATGTTATATACAATATAACCTCATAAAGCCGGCGTGCTCGGGACCGAGCACCTGCCAGAAATTTGAAAATTCCAGATTTTGAACCCAGAGCAGCGGCCGGTCGTGGAGCGGCAACACAGAGTGGAGGATGGCAGAGGCAGTCACCATGTGCAAGCTTCACCCTCTGCTGCGGGACCGGCCGCTGCTACTCCCTGACGTAGTGTATTTTTAAAAAGTGCCGGATTTTTGAGAAGTCTGGATTTTTTATATCTGGATTTATGAGGTTATGCTGTATTATTAACATCCTTTAACAAAAAAAAGGAGGACTGGGGCCAGGTTACAATAAGACCCCAGACTTGATTGAGACTCTCATGAACTACATTGGTAAAGAAGGGCAGTGGAACTCAGCTTTCGCTGCAAATGCGCCGGGAGTAGAAACCTTGAGTTAGCACAGCAACAAATCCACTTGCAAAGCTAAAGCTCTGGCTACATAAACAAATTACCACCAGCTGAGCTAGGGTGTGAATTAATGACACATCTGCTGTTCCACTGACTTACTGAGGAGCGAGCTACTTCACATATTTTGTGGGGCACCTGTGTGTGCATAAGTACTTACCACAGAGTATCTGACGCACTGTAAATTTACACCTTATCTCACCTCTCAGTAATTTGATTGTGTAGCCATGCCCCATGTGAATATAAACAAAAGATAGTAAGAGTGGCACACAGCACACAGCCAGGGCTCCAGAACAATATTTTCTGAGATGGGGCTCCTGTGGTTTAACATTTGTGTATACAGATGAACCTATACGTCATAAATTACAAGACTTTCCAATTCTGGGCTCCCCACGGGGCTCTGCCAATGAGTCTGATCTAATGCTGGGTCTCTCTTGAGCAGATATTTGTCTTCTGTGCCAAATGGTGCGCTGGGTTTTCTGAGACATTATAAGGCCCACTACGTGCCAGAATTGAATCACAACACCCCAGTGTTTTGATACCTGAACAGCATGTAGAGGGCGGAAATACTCACATAGAGAATAGGGATGATGGAGGGGTCATCCCTGCGGATGATTGTCGGGATGTACTCGGCTTTTGGGACTTTGGAAGAAATGAGCTGAGAAGGAAATAAGACGTGCAAATGGGTCATAAGGTGAAACAGGAATGGTGTCTGAGCAGAAGCACAAGGGAACCATAAGCAGGCACTTCATTCTGGGAAGTGGGCTGTCTACATCCGTATTACATACTATGTCTCCTTAGTCACCCAAAACAAACATTTCTTTTGGGTGTAGAAATAACCTGTTTAAAGAGGCTATATTTTTACCCTGTTCTTCCTCAGGCATGGAAACCAATTGGGATGTGGTAGAAAAAACAGAGGCAGAGTTTAAGGAACCCAAGCACTTTGTGCAGTAAAGTCAGGGGTGCAGCACAAGCCTTTGTTTATAGGCCAGGTCCTGTCATGGCATTAATTAGGCCCCCAAGGCAAGCTGAATAATTGGTAGTAGGGGAAAGCTAAGACCCCCATCTCCACCTCCATTCACACTCACACACAGCTGCTTGTCAGTAAATCTACTGATCCAGTTAATAGAAATATTCTGGTCATTCTCCTGTGAGGCCCATTCTGCTCCTGCTGTGCCCCTTTCTAGTCCGCTTCAGCAGCTGCACGTCACCAAACCTCCCTGCTCCCAGCCTGCTCTCCTGCATCCGTGCTATGTCAAGGGAGCTGAGTGTGTTATAGCTGAGCAAGCCAAGCATGGGCAACAACAGAGGGAGCAAGTCAGCTGCACCTGGCAAATGTTTACCAAGTGCCTGGAGCCCAGCTGAGGCATCAGCCCAGTCACCAAGCTGAGCAGGGGCACTGGTGGCACTCACAGCAGACTGGGAGAACAGCAGAGTGGCTAATTTCCTGCCTGTCACGGGCCATTTGTGGCATCAGCAGGCATGAATGTGAAGGGACAAAAATGTCAGTATGATCTTTGCTGCTACTGCGTTTGTAATAAAATGAATCCTCCTGTTGTCAGCCACAGCGTGTCTCACTGCATCACGACTCTGCTACCACAGCTCCGTTCTCTCCTCATTTACACCATGATTTCACGTAAGAGGAAGATCAGGCTCCACTGATCTGTCTCCTCAACAAAATGCTGCTGACATGATAAACTGTAACTGCAGTTATAAAACAGAAAAGCAGGCTGCCTCACCTCCAGCGCCACATGCAGGGGAAAAAACTACCTGCATTGCTGTGGGGATGCTACGGGAAGAATACAGTGAAGGAATATAAAGAAAAGACAACCTCCATTAGCCTCCACAGTCCGTATCTCAGCAATCTGAAGACAGTACCCAAGCAAGGACCAGTCCAAATGAAGCACTGGTCACGGCATAGCAATCTTATTGCCCAAGAAGCCACCTCTGTTCATCTGTAGAGCTCACATTCTGCATTCTGTGCTCAATGTTTGCACGGTCAATGGGAGTTTGCCTGAGTAAGGGCTGAGCGGGTACATCAGGATTTATAAAGAGTATATAGGCGGCTAACTAGAGACAATAGGAAAAAAGGCTGGAAGGGTCTGGGCTACAAAAACATTTTAAAGAGCATAATGGACCTTATCAAGCTGTGTGTTTATCATTTCCCAGGGACTCCAGGGCAAACACACTCAGTTTACAAGTAAAATGATGGAAAGGAGGGATTCCTAATCGCCAGCCTTGCACGTTTTCCCTAGGATCTTACAGTCAAGCTTGGCTATCTCCTTTGTATATATCTCTATAATCCAGGTCCTGGAGTCCAAGTGATACCTCCCTTGGCCTCTGAAGGCTTGTCTCTACTACATCAATGGCAGGCCCTGGGGAGGACAGTTCTGAGCTCATCCCATCCACCCAAGTCTGCTGACAACCTCCAGAGCTGGAAGTTCACCCACAGGGTTGCTTTGAATTTCTCCCCAGTATCCCCTCTTGAGACCTCAATCTCTGGCAGGTCCAAAAATAAGTGCTGGGGACAAATTTGGAGCAGGTGGACTGGTGAACCTCTGGGTCTGGACTGCACTACGAGGCTCGGGTGGGTGGGTGAGCTCTCCTCCCCCGGATGCACCACTGATGCAGTAGAAGGCCACAGTGCCCCTGGCTGCGTTCTGAGGACGTGCGGGGGTGACTGAGGGGTCTACTCTTCACCTGTTTGTGTCCTAAGAGAAGCAACTGAGGAAAAAAAGGATGAGTTAGTCACAGAACAGGAAAAGATGTGTGGTGGGGAGGTAGACTTGCGAGTGGAGGGGAAGAGCCCTTACCATTATTTTTGGTGGAACAAAGTCCTCTCCATCACATGCCGCAGCTTCAAGCTCCTTCTCTGCTTCCCAGTTCAAGTCAAATTCATCCTCCAGAGCACAGCAGGAGTCCTGGAGATCATGGCCTGCCAGGAGACAGCATTAGAGGAGCATTACAATGGACACCAAGCCGCAGGGCTCCTTGCTTTCTCCAGCTCTGGAGAGGGTGACTAAGGTGTTAACTGTGTCATGTGCCATTAGACTTGCAGCCTTCATCCACAGATCAAGCCAAAAGGGTCACCAGTGGTTCCAGAGCTCCACACCTGACCTTCAAAGCTGACTGATGTTTTAGCAGACAAATAATCTAGGGAAAAACAATTAAGCACACAGCCACCTTGTTTCAAAGTGTGATGGTAGCACTTTCTAGTTATTCAGCCACTCCTGAGTACTCAGCATTAAACACCACTCTGAGATCCACAGAGAACAGCCTGTCATGGAAGAAATGATGGGGTTTGAAATGGGTGAGCTGCAGGGGGTTGTGGGGAATGTGGCTCGCTAGGATTAGAACTTATTGGCAGGTGAAATGAAGACATAGGACTATTAGCACCTGCTAACCTGCTATGTCCCATCCCTTTACAGCCATTCAGAAGACAAACCCAGAGAACTCTGGCCTCACAGAAAGGACCGATGCTGCACCAGAAGCGATGTGGCGTGAGGACTGGTACACAAAGCACTGCAGCTCAACAACGTCTGGCCAGGATTTGCTACCTTGCCTGATGGATGCTTCATGGAGAAAATGCACTTCAAAATAACTGAGCAAGAGGAGCTAGCCATGGAACAAAGGGTTCCCTGAAGTCAGCGATTCGTGCATGAGAACTAAGCAAGACGAGCCCCGTTCTGTGCACTTTGAGAATCCAGGGGCAGTGGTCAGTGCTGGATCTCATGCTAGGCACAGAGAAGAACACACACTATTTATGTGCATCTTCCTATTAGTCTCTAGGTTATCTAAGGGCAGGGGAGAAATTGAGGCTGTTATGGAACAATCGGGTCATGTTTTGGACCTTCCTTCTCCCCCACTCACAATACTGTGCCCATTAGGCTTATAAAGACTTGATTCTTGGCTTATTTACAGGGTGTTAGGCTGACCTTTTCAGTTTAATTAATTTAAAGCATAATCCAGCTCTCACTGGAGCCTGGGAAACGTTGACAATAGCTCCTGGGCCCTTGTATAACAGTGCACAATGAAGAGCTCCAGCACGGCCCTACTGTGATTGATGTACCCCTTGAAGTCCTGACAGACAGTGTGTGTTAAATCAGTGCAGTGCACTTAGTTCCATGGGATAAAAGAAGGGGTGACAAGTCTATAGAGGCATATGGAAGCTATTTTGCTGGGCAATCATTCTGCAACTATAGGGTAACACAAGGTAACACAAGAATGCATGTGCATGTATGATGTGTTATCTGCTTAGCTCTGGGAAAGCTAAAGGGAGACAGAAGACACTGACAAGTCACACCAATGAGATTCCAGTCAATGCCTCAGCGGGCAGCTTTGGCCACGGAAGGAAGCTCAAAGGACTCAAAACTCACTTTCTCGAGAGTCATGGAAGGAATCAGCTTTGACGGGAGTCGGGTCGCTCCAGGACCTGCTGAAGCTTCTCTCACGCCGTTCAGCAAATGCTAGGATAAAACCAAACCAGGATATTAACAGATTCCAAAGCCACTGTCACTGCCACTGTCAGCAAAACAAAACACCCAGTTGGTTCCCATCAAAGCTAAATTTTGCCAAAACTCCCTCACATAGGTGATCTTCCACTTGATGAGCATGAGTCTGCCCCATGTGACAAAAAGGGTACATTTTCTACCTCGCTGCCAGCAGTGGTGCCCATTTTCAAGCACAACTGCTATGTTGGCAAGTGTTGGATCCTGCCAAGGAATCAGTAAGTGAGCTCTGGTTAAAGCTGGGGCTCCCAAGGCTTTTGGGTTCCCAGCTCTGGCAGAGAGCCTGGAAACTCTGGCAAGTCCAGATGCACTGCAGGCCCCTCTGGCAGGGTCTTTGGCCCTGGGACAATCCATCCGGTTTGCCCAAGCATTGCAGACCCAGAACTCCCAAGTTATCAACCCACTTGGCAGGTCTGCCACATAGCTTCAGTCCTTGCCAACACAGGTCCCTGGTCTTGGGGCTCGCTGCCAGAAACACAGGAATCCAGGATTGTGGATTCCTGCCTTCAATTTGGTGCAAGCGCAACAAGTTCAAAATTTTTCTAACAAAACATTTCAGGCTCAATAAAATGGCATTTCCCAACAGTTCATTTAATTAAAAAAACTCATCAGCTCCAATCCTGGGTGGCTAACACTGCACGGTGACAAGGAACTCACTGCCGCTCCCGACTCAGGGAAACCTGCATTAACTCAAGGGGTTGAATCATGTAATTTCAGCAGCGGAGGACCAACGTTCTAACCCCAGTTCCTCCGAAAATGCATGGAGAGGTATCCAGGAAAGAGGTCTCTTGTTGGATGCACAGGGGTTCAGTGAGAAGCTGCATCAGGCAAATCTGAGAAACACCTTGTCCTTTGTTGCATTTTGTACCCAAATGCGGGGTGCACCCCCAGTGGGTATGTGAAGGAGTACCTGAGCTGAACTTCCATACAGAGGATGTGAAGGACTAGCTGGGAGTACAGATGAGAGGTACATACCAACTGCTCAGTTGTTTTCTGGCTTCACCTTTCATTTGTAAATAAAAGCCTCTAGTTATAGGTATGAAGCAAAACTTGAAAACATGACCCGAGTGTTACCAGTACAGGGAGGTCTGCCTGAGCCTGCAGACAGCCTGGAACAATAGCCCCAAGAGGAGGTAAACCCTGTAAACTTGAGTGGAAACTTACTCAGATGTCAATGAAGGCACTTCAAAAGGCAACACACCCAAAGGGTGTAAGAAAGGAGAGGCAGTATGAGAAATGCATGCTCAACTCGGAGCAGTGATTCATTCTGAGCAGACCTTAAATTATACATGTCAGGGGGGTGTTAATGGAGTGAGCTTGAGCTCTCAGACTTCTCAGCTGCTGGAGTCTGAAGGCAAGCAGCAATGGCAGCGCTAGATAGGAGGCAGGGAACAGGGTGAGAGATGTAGTGAAAGAGAATGAAAATAATTCGTAATTCCAGAGGGCATCCCATCCTTATGCTCCATCAGCTTTCACCCTTTGACATGACTGACACCCAATAGCCCATCAGCATTCATCCTATGACAGGGGTGGGCAATATGCAGCCTGGGGGCCAGATGCAGTCTGCCAGGCCATTCTATCTGGCCCGTGGGACCCCTAAAAAATTTAGAAAAATTAATAATTAACTGCCCTGGGCTGCCTGTTATGCAGCCCTTGATGGCTTGCCAAAACTCAGTAAGTGGCTCTCTGCCCAACATAATTGCCTGCCCCTGCCTAGGACCTCCACCTCACAGCCAGGCCTTATGGGTTCTCACTTACTTTGTGCTTTCACCCGTCGGCTCCCGACCATGCGCAAATGCTTCCGAAAGTTCCTGGGGAAAAAAAGCAAAAGCAAACCTCTAATAAGATCTGTGTTAAGCAACAATCAGGCCCAAGAAGGAATAGCAAGTTGGTGGAGGGAGAATAGGAAGATCCTGTTCTTCCTTCCAGGCATTTATATCCAGAGGCACAAAGCTCAGCAAAACTCCCGGAGCAACTCTAGCTGCATTTGGTAAGCGGCAGGGGCAGGGGGTATTTGCCAACTAGGGGATGTGGCTGTGTTTGAATTTCTGGTGGGCTGCAGTGCCGGTGCCACTGTGCTCCTGTTTATCAACCATCCTCATTCATTTTCCTTTGATTTGTTGCTTCGACTCTACTTCCATCTTATGGCAGCCAAAGAGACTACTGCCTGCTGAACTGGCTACTCATTCCGTCCTTATGGAGAGCAGATGCAACCACTCACTCCCTCCTCTGCCAAAGACAATGCCATACAAGTGTGGAGATGCTTCTTGACCCTACCATGCTTGTGCTACATGCCTGCACCGTGCTCGTAGCTGTGCCCATTTCTAGAGCATAGTCTTAGACACTGCTATTGTTCATATTTGCTGATGTTATTGACTTGGCACCTAGCAGAAAGGATCCTGTCCTGGTCTCTACAGGAAAAGGCTAGAAGAGATCACACCAGTCCTTTCCAGTGTTGGCTTCCACTGGCCAGTGAAACAGGAATGCTCCCCAGAGGCAAGTGTTTTACCAGTCTGGCTAACAGTGCCTCTGAACGTGTACCTTCCTCCCTGGGATCCAAATGGAGGGACTGGCAAGTATACAGGGGCAGTATCTACCCACAGAGGAATGTGTTAGGATCTTAATATGTGGCTACTATCCCCCATACTCAATTCTGTACAAAACAGACTCTGCCTGTCAGCAGCTCTGCCCAGGACAGGGCCAAATACAAATAGGAGTCCTTTCCAGACCTCTCTGAGTGTTGGTTACATCAACTCCAGGCTCCTTGAGGCTGATGTGGACTCATGCAGGCTCACAGCCACTTGCCAGGACAGTACCTATCCAGTCTTTCAATGCTTGACCCAAAGAAGTCCAAAAGATGGAGCATCTTATCCACAGAAAGGAAGGCATGAGGATGGACAATAGGGAGGACTGCATCAAAAAATGCTTCCATTTGACTTCACTTTGATTCTCAGTTAAATTAAAGCAGCCCATCTCTGCAGTGCAGCTCCCCCTCAGACCCAGCTCTCATACCAATGATTATAAGAGATACCTGCACCTGGATTCCTCATGAAGCTGATGCCCCGGACTGCTGGGTATTTCCTTACAACACTGCAGCACAGCACAGAGATACCAAAGTTTGCTCAGCTATAAGGAGCAGTCTCATCACACTATCAATCACAGAGAAGCTGAGTAAATTATCCCTGGTGAAGTTCTATGGTCTCATAGGTAGACTACTTCCAAAAAAACCCTGCTATCCCACTTGGACCTAACTACAGTATCTCTACATTGCACAACCACATCCAGTGTAGACATGGAAATCATTGTTCAGATCCAGCTATTTGAAATGAAAAAGTACAAGCAAACAGCCAAGGTGGGGCTGAGAATCCCTCTAAAAAAAACTAATCTCTGTGCTTGCACAATTTATGACATTTGACAGAACTTCACCAGAATGCAATAATATTCACTGTATTCTCTATAGTGCATAAAACAAGTGGCACCTTTAGACAGGCATCCTATCCCCAGTTTTGACCTAAATTTGGTGTTTTACAAACCTATACTACATTTGACCTGTGCAGTGTTCTGTATGAAGTATGCGTGGAGGTAGAAGGGGTCCTTTCAGGCGGTCTATGTGATAACTGGCCAATGCCCTGAGATGTGAAGTCTCATTGCAAGTTTAACTTAAGCAAAGTAATTTTCTAGGAAAACAGGCATATGCCTCAGAGGGAATTCAGTGAAAGGCAACCCGCAACTCTACAATGTAGCTGGTTATTATGCAAACATCTGCACTCCCCTAACTCCTTTCAGAAACACTCAGTGCTAATCTTAACTGCCCAGGCCACTGCAATCAACTTGGGACTTCAGCCATGTGTTTATAACAAAACCTTTCCTTATCATATGTTGGGTTCTTCATAGATTGGCCTCCTGCAAGGGAGATGGTCTGTGCAGTGGGAGAGTGCATTTTTCCTGTGCTGCAAACTACAAAGAGAGTTTGGCTTGTTCCCAGAGTGAGAGTTTTGGGCAGCTCTCAAGATACAGTATCTGTGCACTGCTAAGAACAGCACTGATAGGATCTCAGTAGAGCTCAGTCAGTCCCCCGCTGCTGGAAGGAAGGTTTCTGCAGAGCAAAACCCACGGAGAGTGGGAAAGAGTAAAAGGATTCCTTCTCCTGCTTCCTTTACCTGACCCTCTAATAAGAAACGCTCTTGAAGGAAGCTGTCATTAGACTGACTTGCCTCTGCACCTCCTCTGCATCCGATGACCATTTGGCTCCCCTGCACAAGTGCTGGTTCCAGACTGGGCCACTGCATGCTTACTGGCTCTTGCAGCTGTACTGCTCTAGCATCTGCTGTCTGCCCTTGCTCATAAGCAGCAGCTGAAGAACCAAAGAAAGTGGGGGGGAGGTATAACCCCTGAGGGCAGAAACCCTCAGAGGAGTGGAAATCACAGAACTGAAGAGTTTGGGAAGAGCACTATGACGACCCACATACTCACTCCTTGGCTTGGGGTAAATCACCAGCAACTGAGAGATACCTGCACCCACCAAGCACAATGCGATTCAATGTTTTAATTTGCCACAATCTCTCATTCCACCAAAATCCAGCAAACACCAGTTGGGTTAAAAATAGAAAGCAATAGCTACTCATTCTTCCTCTTTGGAAATACCCCTTCTACTGCTGAACAGGCACTAACTTGCCACCCCAGCTCGTGTTGCCAGTGCACCATCTCCAGGGTACCCATCATATCCCAGAGATTCTTGAGGCAGAACCAGCCCAAGCCCAGGTACCATTTCTGACCCTGCACAGCTTGCAGGTCTATCCAGACTGATTAATTCCTGCTCTGAACAGCATCGTTTTTAATCTCTTGAAGAGAGATTGGCGAGATTAGGAAAACCATTAGAAGACATCAGAATCTCAGAAAGACCACAGTAGCACCTCCTGTCTGCCTGGACCACTATGCTCCAATCCCAGCACTCAACTGTGCGACTGTCACAGATCCATTCATTCACCTGCAGCATCTTGCTGAAGAAATCTCATTCCCAGAGCTCCACTGGAGCATCCCTCTTTCCAAGGTGAGAGTCAGGGCCAAGGAGCATGCTCAGCAACAAAGCAATGTTTTCCCCCCATGCATCCAATGTGTATGGTCAGCACCATCACATTGCTGAATGCCCAGGCCTCTTTCTCAAAATAGAAAGGGCCTCAGATGAAGAGGAGACGAAGATGTCTCATTTATTGGAGGAAGAGAATTCACCACTCACTACTTGATCCCTTAAGCGCAAGGCAGCCAGCAGTTAGCCTGGGATATAGAAAGCCAGAGAAAACCATTGGGTCCCCCTGCCTGCAGCTGCCTTACTAAAGAATCCACTTCATATTCATTATGACCAAATCCTACCACAAGAGATAATGTGAACAGATGTACACCCTTGTCCTGCCCTGATCCCCTCCATCAGAGGTAAGGGGACATGCAGCATGCTCACATGAGGGATAGTGTTACTCTGTCCTATATTTACACTCCAACCTAACCATTCAGGGCAGGACAGGACGGACTTGGACGTATATCTATGGCAAGTGCCCAGCGCCAAAGCTGCCCAGCTGTGCGAACACTGTCCAGCCTGCCTTCTCTAACACAGACTTATCTCCTAGATAACTCTGAACTGTCACTTTCTTTTTAAAGAGACACTGTCTAGCCATTTATAGGACTGTAACTTTAGTTCCTGTTTTTCTCCATTGTAGATAAGAACAAATACCTTGGACAATGGAGATACCTTCCTCTCTGTTACCTTTTTCCCCTTGTGTTGTAGAAATACTGATTTTCTCTTTCTCCCTCTTTGAACAGAACTGTTTTTAACCAGTGTCACAAACATACTGTCTTCTTTTGCTCATCCAGCTGCTAAAAAATATACATGGGTTGCTAAGTTTCTGAAGTTAGAACAGTTCTGATTACAGTGCTGGCTAAATCATGGAACCTGTGAAGCCAGCACAGAGAAGATGAGACCATGTGGGGGGGGTTTGTTCCTCAGTGATGGAATGAAAGATTTGCTAATAGATCTTTACAAGCCAGCGATACTATACTAATACTGAATTTAGGCCTGGATGTCTAGAAATACAAGTATAAATGTGAACAGTGTGCGCACAAATTATCAGTTAAACATTTACCTAGCCATCAGCATACACAATTCCTGAAATGATAGATTTAGTTACAGCAACTGCATCTTCAAAGTCATGCATCTGCATTTTACACATCTGGGCCTTAAGCTCTTGTGCATGTTGCTTTGAAGCTTAAGATGCTTGACAGTGTCTCTTTAAGAAGGCAGAGACTGGCTAGCTTGCGTAAGGTAGCGTCATTCACCTGCAGATTGTCTGCATGGCCTTTGCTAGCATCCCCGGTGAACAGCAACGTGAACGATGGACAACCATGTTCAACGCCATCGTGCGTCACTGAGGACACCCAAAAGGCCCATGCAACACCAGGCAAGGTTACGGCAGTGCGAGAAAACGGGCCCTACCTCTGAATAACAGCTGCAGAATCATTTTCTCGTTTCCGTCTCTTCCTCTCTGCGTAGCCCCTGAACGCCCTGGGAAACCATTTTAAGCCATTAACCAACTACACAGCTTTGAACTGGAGACAACATGAAACACAGAGACAGGAGAGAGAACGCTCTCACTAGACAAAAGAGAGAGAAAGAGAGAAAGGAGCCACCCTCACAACAAAAACAAGCTGGCTCTGAAAAAAAGAGCCGGAGGCCACATAGAACGTTACGCGTCACGGCAAGGGAAGGGAAGGGGCAGCAAACCACTGTGCACTGGTTCTTTACAGCTGCTGTAGGAAGGCAGATAGATAACTGCTCCTGAAGCTAGTACAGGTGGCCAGAATATGGCTCCCAGCATGAATGATGGTATCTGCTCCAGGTGTGGACCCTGGAGACTACAGGTTCAGCATGCAATTCCTCTGTTTGACTGGACCAAGTTGAAGATAAGCATGCTGGGAGCTGTAGTCTCCATGTTGAAAATGAGCACGGCTGTAGTCTGTTCCTCGTATACATACTAGGTGCAGTAATCAATCCTTTGGCAAGCTGACTGTGCAGCCCTTGAATCGGAAAAGTCCTAGTGAACATTGAGGTGAGGGAAGGGTTTTGGCTGGGACACCGACAAACAGGGAAACAGAAAATGAAGGCTGTACTTACGAAATGCTAGAAATCCCAGGAGATGCAGAGAAAGGAAAAGAGAAGAGACGCTCATTAGTGCTCTACCCTTGCCGGGCCTTCTGTGTTGCATGTATCTTCATTACAGAGGAGCAAATATTTCTTATGGAGTGGAAGACAATGTCTCATTCAAATTATCTCTAAGTCAGATCTTTATTACGAAACTTTTACCTATGTGGTGATGCTTCCTTTAGACAGAGCACCAGCATGTGGCCTACACATAACTCAAGTCCCACTTTAGCCCACTTGCAGATTTACTTCTGCAAGTAATACCAGCGTGTGGCCCACTAGGCTACAACGGGATTTAAGTCTGACCAGAGAACTCCACCTCGAAGTGACGAAGTCCCACACACTGAGCCCACAGCCTCCACTGTCTCCAGAAAAAAGGAAGCTGGCAGCCCTCTGAATCTCTCAGACTACAAAAGCAGAAGATGTGGATTTACATCTATCCTTGGAAAGAGAGGCTAGGGGTTCAAAGAGATCTCCACAGGCTTTCCAGGGATTTAAGAAGCAGAGTTAAAGATAGCTCTGTTTCCTTCGGACCTTCCACAGAAAGTCTCCCAAAGACAGCGTTCCTCACCAAGCTGGCTAACATCCAGACTCTAGCTGCTCCATTTTTAGGCGTCCATTTTGACTTTCAACAGGTCTAATCCCATATCCATGCCTGGAATAGGGCCCGGCGATAAATCCTTCACGTGACAAGGGTGACAAAATGTAGAGACCAGCAGAGGGCATTCCCTGAGGCCAGAGGTAGAGGGAATGCCTGGCTGTTTTGTGGGCTTTTGGTTTAGTACATGAAATCTGTGAAACACAGCTCAGTGCGAGGATTTGTTCCCAACAGCTCTCTCTCACAGCAAAACAAAACTGTATTAAATCATCCTTTAAAACATTTCACCTAGCTCTTTACATAGCTCTCTCTACCTGGCTGGCAGGCTATCTAAATTATTATTTACAGTGCCAGCCTGTCTTTGGAAGCCACACGTGATGGCAGGTGGCACTAATGAGTGTCACACACTGCCTTCTTATCTGTAAGAAGGGTTCACTAAGGAGGAAGAGGGCAAATGGGGTATATAAGGAGAGCAACATAGCAAGGAGACAGACAGAGGATGCAGAAGCCCTCAATGTGTTCACACTACTCCCCTCAGCACGAGCCTGGCCAACAGGTTGTGCCGTGAATGCATGGACAGTTCTAGTTAAATGGCTCCATCGAGGACGTGCTTCCCCTGCAGAGGTTCATGTGCGGCCAGGTGATGCTGACTGCTAGCTGAGGTGGTAGATGTAAACTGTTCTCCGATACAGACCTCCCCCACTTCTCTGCAACTAGCTTCTCCTGTGCCGGTCTTGCCATGAAAGAGCAGCACTCTTATATTTCTGATTTGGCTTCAGGGTTAATCCAGGAAAAACTTTTGGCTTCTTTTCAGAGCTGCCCCCACCCTTCAGTACAGAGGCATAGGAAGGATCAGGGAGGACGACAAGAGGGAAAAGGTCAGGTTGGGTAGGGAGCAGTAAGGAGAAGCAGGGAAGAGGGTGACAGCAGAGACAGGGAAGGTCTGTGCCGAGGGGAAGGGAGCAGGACAGAGTAAGATGGAAGGGAAAACACATTAGATTGGGGAAGGTGCTCCCTCAGTTTCCCTCCCATCACAAGTCATTAGTTTGAGAAGATGGTTGTTATTTAGATCCAGTAGGAAACATTTCAGGGATTTCATTAAGCAGGCAAGAAAATGCTTTGCAACAAGTAGACTAAGGCCTCAAAATGAGACATTCCCACTCTATACAGACCCCTGGGAATAGTTTCCTCCCAGGGTATCTGAGTCATGGTGCAGGTGAAAGGAAATTAGGCTGTTCCTAATTCAGATGCAACCGTTCTTCTCTGAGCATTTCAGTCTGTCTTTCTCTTTCAACTTCAAGATCCAGGCTGAGGACATGGGGCACAGAGCCTTCTACGACAGTGATGGGAGTACAACTTTCCTGGTTTCATGCCTCACTTGAAGTGGCAGCTACGACAGAAAAGTGTCTGGCTGAGATTTCTGTAGAAGAAGTCACATACCTACAAGCCAGGACACCGTGCCCAACAGACAAAGCACAAAAGGAGTCAGAGAGCTGATCAAGAAAGAGGTTAATAAAGAGAGGGAATGAATGAGTCTGAATCAGCAAGGACAAATGAATGAGTGAAGAATGAGTCTGAATCAGTGAATGAGAAAATGAAGAAGCAATTAAGCAAATGAAGGAGTTATGGACCAGAACTGCCCTCAACCCCATACCACAAAGCTTGATTGCCAAAGACTTTGAAACCCTAAGATGCAATCGTGTATGGACCACATACTAAGCATAAGAAAAGTGGTGGGGACTGCAGCAGAAGTTTCACTTACGCTTGCATAGTTGTAGTAGCAGTTTGAAAACTGAAAAGGTTCTCCTTGGGGAACCAGGTCCGTATGGGGACATCATCTGAAAGGAGAAAGAGCAAAACCTGAGCATTCAGCAGACGGAAACAGAGATCAGATGATTCTAGCTGGTGATGGTGACATCTTACCAAGACAGCCACTCTCTTAGCACCCATCCTCAACAGTCAAACCCCATTTGGAGGCAGTGAGTTTCTGTCCATTCATAGGAAAGATTCACCCACTTCAGCTTTCTCTACTTACTCATTTTTCCAACATCAACATCTGTTACCTTACACTTTCTGTAAGATGGAAGACCAGCTGTGTTTGAACTATACACATGGCCATGGACTGTGCTAGTCTTTTCAGGTGTGTCTGCCTTATATATTACTAGTCTGGAAAGAGACAGTGCCATCTGAGAGAAGGATATTTTGAGACAGGAAAGTTAGGGGGGAAAGTTATCAGCATTAGGGATATGAGAGAATGATTTGTGGGGGGCAGGACTGCTGGGATGAAATTCCAAACACTGATGGATTATATTATAAGGCTCAGAAACCCCTCTCCCCCCCCCACCCCAGGGTGTATTAGTCCTAAACAGATTCGTTTATATCTTAACAGGGACTCCCTACTGTAACCTCTCCGGTAAAAAATCATCAGCCACTGGGTAAGAAAACATTTATATTGGTAGCATGGAGCTAGAGCCTCAGGCATTGAGGACACTGGGTCTTCAACTCCGTCCATCCCAAATTCCCTGAATACCTTGTATAGCAACCTTGCCAGACATTATTGCTCCTATATCTTACTTCACCAATTAGTGTTTCAAGAACATTAGCTTCATCTACCAACATTGTCATGACTGTGCTGCTATCAAGAACAATCAACCCAACTTTCATCTTCATGAGCATAATTACCATATGTGGCCACAAAAACTGCACATGCATTTTGAATGCCCCTGCAATTCATTGTGCGTGTGACCATTAATAATCAGACATCTTGCCATCTGCTCTGCAAGCACAAACAGATAGCCATCTAGCTACCACACAGATCATTAAGAAGCTAGACTGCAGATGAGGTACCAATCTAGTCATGGCAGTTCATTGCAAGCATGAAAAATGTGGATGCAAACTGTGCTTTTCATCAGTCTACATACATTAGTATTCCATGAAAAATTAATCAGAAAGCCATGATAATTGCTTTCCCTTTCTCAGTAAATTAAATACATCAAGACCTGGGCGTAGAAACTTTTAGGAAATCTCTTTTTAAGTATAAAGTTGTTTTCAAACATACCAAGTGCCTAGTCCTTATTACAATGCAATTACATCTGCAAACAGGAAATGATTGGCAAATGGAACACAGATCATCAGCGGTGGATCTCAACTGGAAAGCCTTGAACCCTTAGCAATCAACTGTGGGGAAGGGAGGTCTGAGTTCTGTTTTATACCATGATTACATAAAGACCTCCTAGGCCGCGGGGGCGGCCAACCTGAGGCTCCAGAGCCTCATGTGGCTCTTCAGAAGTTAATATGCATCTTCTTGAATATTTGCACCAGCACATGACGTGACATAACGGCTATGGAAGCTGGTCACTGCGTGCTTGTGCAAAGATTCAAGGAGACGCATATTCACTTCAGAAGAGCTGCATGTGGCTCCAGAGCCACAGGTTGGCCAGTGGCCACCCCTGTCTTAGGGATAGATACCACAGAGGACCGATTGATGGTGAGCATTGGAGCTGTTCAGTTCTAGGTCACTGGTTCAAATTCATAACAAGAAAATTATGAGCAACAATCAACACCACCTGACAAGACTTCAGTGAATAGCCTGGATATAGAAAGCAGGTGATGTTATGCTCACCCCATGGAGTGGTCCCTGTAAGCCAGGGGTGACGCCTGATTTGTTTGATAATTTACCTGAGATTGTATCTGCTTCTTTTCCAGGCCTGAAGAAGGGCATTTTGTGCACAAAAACTTGTCTAACATTTCTCCCAACTATCAAATTTGTCCAATAAGAGATAAACCCTGCTTCTCTCATATTTCCAGCACCACCACAGCTACAATACTACACCTCAGGACTGAGGCACCAGAGCAGCATGGAAGCATCCGACATACCTGCCTGGTAAAAACCGAACCCGTTTCAACCTCCAGAGCTCATACAGTAGGGTAAGCCTTGGTTTAATAAGCATAAACGTTCTCCTGAGGCATTCTTATAATCTGTGCGATGCAGGAAGTGTAGGGGCTTGCTCCTCTTTTCTGTAAATATCTGTTATATGACATGTCTAAACAAAAAAACAACCAAAGCACAGGGCTTCTCCTGGAGATTAATGATCACTCGGAAGCATATAATGGCAGCTGAAGGATTCAACTAGTCATCAACCCCTACTAAATGCCTAGAGCTGTGCCTGCTGTTGCTAATGTCTGATGCAAGAGGGGTGAAGATCACATGCCTAGGGAACTATTTCAGGGGTGATGCAGTTGCATTTGACACGTGCAGGACACTTCTAGAGCATGGATGTTCTGTACATTAGCCAGCCACATTGCCTAAAATGTCTCAACATTTCTTTTACTTTATGTCAACTAGCAGGTGGCTATAGCATGATGTCAGCAGCTGCACAGGGGACAACAGCTTGGAATGGTGTTCAGATACCATGGAGATGAGCTCAGTGTAAGACCCCAGATTAGATTATGTTTAACTGCACTGGTAGTGAGCAGGACAATCCTGCCACAATAATTTGTACTTGGAATCCATACACTGAAGGGCACAAGCAGCGCTGCAGGGGAGACTTTGGGGAAATGAGGGGATGTATTTTTTGCATTGCTATTCCAGAGGTTCCAATAGCTTTTTTTCTCACCGTGAGTGAATGACTCGCCATGAAATAGTTGTTGCAATCTACTGCATATCTGCTCTTTTTCACTGGTTTTCCCTAGGCGGTAGCACTAGGGCACCACTGTGAAATTACAGTAGGCTAGAGAAACATAAAGAACATGGTGCTGGTATGCATAACGGGATTTGATCTGGGAAGCACATTACATTGCCAATTAAGAACCTTTCTCCTATAAGACAAGGAGTTCTAGGAATCTCATAGGTCAGCTGGCAGCTGTCTAACACAAGGGCACAGTGTGACATGCGCTTCATGTTGCGTGACTGATCACGGGACTCTTATCTATAGAGGACATGAGTAGGTCATTACACTGTAGACGATGGCATGGATGAATGATTTTGATCTTTATCTGACAGTAGTAAGACAGCGCAAGAAATGTCAGGAGTCAGCTTGCTTTCAATAAACTAAAGGATCCATGAGCAATAATGAGGCAGTTTGCATCAGCAGATGTAAATTGCTCCTCCTGCAATCCCTTCCTCACACAATTATCATTACTTCTCAGTGTGAATATGACTGACTTTCACAGGGCTCTCTCACATGAGTACGGACTATTAGCACAAACATTTGAAGAGTCAGGCCCAATACTCAGTGCTTCTGAGTAATTAGTCTACTTCCACTTTCTCATCCTTGGAGGTATGTTTTCAGAAGGGCAGCCTTCATTTAGTAAAGGCAACTTGCCCTCATGAATAAGACTGCCTAGCTGAAAATACGCATCAAAAAGCTCAGGCACCCAAGGGTTGCCCTGAGAAGGTAGAAATGGAGACTGAAATCCTCCTACCCTGGCATTTGTTTGCCTTGGTGTTTTCTGGGCCAGTGATGTTAAATCCTAGATGTGGAATTGTACCATCTACAATTTTAAGGCCCTCGCTCATGGTTTTGTTTCACTTAATCTGTGCAAGCTCCATTAGCATGAAGTGCATTTGCTTTAATGTTAAAAAAAAAGGATATGAAAACACACAGAAAATGTTGGATGTTAAAACTTTACCTTCCTAACTCAAAGTTCTTGTGGCTGCCATTTATCAGAAAAGCACTCAGGGTACTATCCCAGCATGACTGAATCACACAGACAGTTTGGGGTCCCACCATGACAATACCAGGCTTTAGTGTTTTTGTGTTTTCACACAAACCTTTCCACTCTGTCATTACATGCAAGACAATAATAAGTCAGACACATGTCTGAAAGAAAGCCAAAAATCTCTCTCATTTTTTGTACTGAAGAAACCAAAATAATATACTATAGCAAAATGTTCATGTCTGGTTGTCTAAGGTGAAACACTGAAATGCATCGGAGAGGTACCCAAATACAAATGCTTCAATTTGGAAAGGTGTGTTGGGAGCTGTTCTGCACCTTTGAAAATCAGGACACTTTTCTTTTGAATAGTTTATATATGGACTTAAGTGCCTAATTTTAGCTGGACCAGATTGTAAATATGGCTCCTAGTCTAAACTTCATAACATGCTACAAACAGAGATATCGCTGTGATCCAGGGAACAAACAACTCCAGAAGCTTTGTGGCATATTTGATCTTCTGTTGAAAACATGACCCAATCCCTCTTATAGCTAATTTCACAACTGGCTCTTAAAGCCTTTTGTGTTTTATTAAAAAAAAAGTCAAGTCAATTAAGTCACAGCTTTTACAGCCAGTGAGGCATCAACTTAATAGCATGGACTATAGAGGTAAGAAGATAGAGGTGCCTGTATTGCATCATATGTAATACACATGATATATGAATTGACATGACAAGTTTGACAAGTTTTTGATTCTAAAGAAATCAGGTATTTCTCAGCCTCAAATGAGGAAATTGTAAAGTTACTTTCCCTGAAGACACTTGTGCCATTAAAGAAAATGGACCACAGATCAAAGAAGTAGTGAAATGGCATATTGCTCTATATAGTATCTGTAGAACAGTATCACTTTGTAAAGTGAGACTGAACTGTTTTATTCCACTCATGGCAGCATTATGTTATAGGATTGTATAGCGTCTTTATAACACTGCCACACAGCATTTATGTGGTTATGCCATGGGCTTCCTTAAGGACCTTGGTGGAATCTGTTACTGTGCTGCTGATAAGTGGGAGCGGAGCCAACACTGGGACTCCTCTCAGCTACATAAGGACCATATAATGCTGTGAGTGGTCTATTTTGGGACATTAGCTCTTGCAGCCAAACAGACTCCCGACTTATTCTAAGCCTGATCTCTGCCTACTATCTTTCAACAGAATGCAGGTACCACAGACTAGCGAGGCACTTCCTGGGAAATACCAAGTCCTCCAGACAAGGGCCTATTCCCTGCGGATTCATTTCTCAAGCCAGGAGACAGGTGTTGTCCATTAGTGGCCCCTGCCAGTAGGAACTTTAGCGCCCTTTGAACACAAAGTACCCTTGCTCACTTACCAGACACACGATCAACACTATACATCCTCTCCAGCTTTTTCCTACGCCACCCTGTCTCGTTGGACTGATGTTGCTCCAGGTCAAAGGAGTGCTGGGAGGAGGCTGCCAACCGAGCACAGCTGGGGCATTCCTTGGAGCCCTGCCGACTTCCTGCCCAACCTTTGCAATGCCTGCTGATGTTGTGAGAGCTGCAAGCACTCTGCAGGGGCTGGCCATGGTGACACTCCTCTTGCCCGGTGCCCTTCATCACCACCAGTTCCATGCTATCATTCTCATGGTCCGACAGCATCGGCCTCTCGCCGGAGATTGTGTACACACGTGGCTTTGGCCCCTCGCTTGGGATCTTCTCGGCCCGCTCCTCAGAGAAGCTCCTCTCAAACTTGCCATCAGAGATGACAGAGAGTCTGCGCTTGTTCTGAGCTGCCTGCTGCATCTCAGGGGAGTCCTCCTGTCCGATATACGAGTCCGCTAACAGGTGATCTGAAACAGAGGGCACACTCGTATTTATTGCGTAGAATCGTGGTTTACCTCAGGCACAGAAACAGGTTCGGGAGAAGATCTGGAGAAGCAGATCCCTTTGCCAGCATAGAAAGGGAAGCAAGAGAATAGAGCGAATCTCTCGAAGACTACCTCTATGCAGCTGAACACACACCCATTGCCCTTTCAATCTACCCCCAGAGATCAGACCCCAGCAGTGGTCACTGGCAAGACATCATAGCTGGAAGGATATTCTGAGGAACAGCATGCAAGTATGTACACACACTCCTCACTCCGCTCCAGCATAGCAACAATGCACCTGGTTTCTGACAGTTTCAAGTAAAGAGAGGTTGCTGAGGTCAGCTGCACATATGTGGATACCCCTATCAGTGGGGTTTATGTCCCCTGAATAGCAGAAGTGGGACGCTTGGGCGTTCTTCACACACTGACTTGTTCTCTATATATGTTTTCAAAAAACAATGAAAAAATAGGGGGAAGCATTGTGGATTTGGGACTTATTTTCTGCCAGTTTGCTATGTGAACAACAAATGGAAAAAGGAGCCAACCCACAGATGGGAGAGAGGAGGCCTGCTCTATCTGATGCCACCAGTCAGCAGTCCTTAGCAACATTTGCCAGTCGTGTTCACCTATGGACAGATGCAGGATTTCCTAAAGGACAGTGTGCTACTCTGCCCCTTAGACCATGGAGGGGGTAGGGGAAAGGGTGAAAGGAGCCCCCATGTTGGCAGAGAATACCGGAGAGCCAGGTAGGGAGCAGCTGCACCAGGTGGGGGACCTGGTCCCTGCCAACACCACTGTCGTTATCCCCAGCTGACCCGAGGACAGTGTCGGATCCAGAGCCACTCCTGCCCCCTTCAGCTCCACACAGCAAGGACCAGCTGCACAGGGCTCCATGTTCAGCCAGGGGCAGCAGTGGCAGCATGCAGCTTCTCTCTTCCAGCCTCTGCTCCCTGCCTTCCCCCACACCAGCATCTCCCACAGGCATCCTGGAGCAGGCATTGGAAGGAGGCACCTGCATATCACCGCCACAGTCCCCTGCTGAACCTGGCACCCCACATAGTCACAGCCCACATTTGGAGTGGGGCAGGGGTGACTCTGGAGTAACCTGTGCCTGGGTCAGCTGGGGACAGCAAGGGAAGGAGAGGCCAAGTGTGGGGCATTCAGGGACAATCATCTCTCAGTGAACATAGTCATGTAAAGTGCATGAAAAATCAGGAAATCTTGGTATTTCCATGGTTACTCTATGCACAGACCCAACAGCTGCTTCCACCCATATGCTAAGCCCCTTCCTCCCTGCCCCCCACCCCCAATTTTTCTTTTAATCATGTTGTGTTTTCTTAGGGATACAAGATGCATTCACAGACCTAATTCCTTCCCTGCCAATTACTTTTTTTAATGAATCCTCTAGCTGCTGCTTGTTTCAAAGGAAAAGATGCATTAGCAGTTATTAACAGCCAGTATAGATACAAAAAAAAACAACCTAAAGCTTTGCTTCATTAGATGTTTAATGAAAAATATTTTTTTTAGCTACTGATCCACGATTAAGAAGAATCTATAAAAGATTTCAAAGCTCAGATGCCCTGCAACTGGCTGCCAGCGAACACCTGGATGAAGGGAATCATTTAGGGGCAAAGATCTGCCGCAGGGCATTTGCAATAGAGACTGCTCCATGGAATCCTGCAAGCCCGCACACCCACCCCCACATTCAGCCCCTTTTCCTTTCTACCAGCTGGGCTGTTCCAATGGACTGGGAGGAACATCTCTTGTGCTGGTGATGGGCTGTCCATACTGGTTGGGAGGAGAGTACTTCCAAGGTGTGCCCATTCCATGGTTGGCCATGGGGCTCTTGTATTAGGACCTTGTGAATGTGGGAAGCAAGAATGAATTCTGCTCATGGTTGCTCTTCCCATTTTGTTTACATCCAGGATTGAACACCAAACCCTGAGCTACATTTTAGGGGACTCAGCAGAATAGTTAAGGGCAATATGTGCCCTTAGCTCATTTCCCTGCTCAATGGGTTTTGTATAAAACATCCTCAGGACACTGGTTGGATGAATACACTTCTGGGTGATGATTCAGCCATGCAGCTCAGGGCTATGGGATGAAGAGCTTTGCAGGGCAGGAAAGTTCAGGCCGTGACCCATCCAGCTCATTTCACTTGTGACTTGATGAAGCCTCAGAGGGACTGCTCTCTGGATATTAGAGTTGATCTGCAGTCATGGTTGCTCCTTCATTGACTTCACTGGGAAGGGTTTGCTGAAAAGCCATCTAACTACTCCAACAGCCCTACAGTGGCCCTCAGAACAATGCCTTTTTGTTATCATTTCACACCATGTTATGTGGAAAGCTTAGCTGTCTGACAGCTACTAGTAGCTATAATGAGGAGCTGGAAATGTAAGAGTGTAGGAATATGCACAGCACCTCCATCACCAAAAACACAAATCCCTGATCCTGGAGTGAAATGAATAGCTCTGTTAGCTGTTACTCAACATCAGGCTCCTTTGTCACCAGGTTCAGCTGCTGGTGGGATATGACAACATGCATGAAGCCAGTACATTACAAGTTCCCAGACACCACAGTTGCTCCTGACATTCTTCACACCTAAAAACCCAGCAGGACATGACAGAAGGGAGCTTTTGCTCTGAAGTAACTCAATTCTTCTCCCGTCCCACCTCCCTCCAGTAGTGATTCAGGACAGACATACTTTAGGCAAACTCCCATGCGTCCAACCAACTCGAGCTTCTGCTACCTGACTCACAGACCTTGCAGGCTTCACAGCTTTGGCAAGCATTATGTACACTGCAACTTGTGCAAAAGGATCAGGTCAGTGCACTGCAACTTGTACAAAAGGATCAGGTCAATGCTAAGTATGCACCTCTCCTTGTTAAACTCACGAACCCCTATGCAGACACTATGCTATCATCCCAGACACAAGACCAAAGAAACAGTGATATACCATAGAATACTAATATGGACACCCTGCTCTCACAAAAACCTGTGCTTTCATGGATTAAATACCGTATCATTAGAGTATCAAATTATATGTGGTATAATATGTGGATTTTGCATTGTGCTGATAGGGCCTCATTTTGTGTTTTGCATGCAAGCCTGTGGTTCTTGCTAAGTAAACATGAATTTCTAAACTCTGTTGATAATGGTGGTGTCATGACAAGTGGCGTCAAAATAAATACTAAAGTCTAAACTGTAGGCCTTTCCATGGCCTCCGATTCTAGTTGCTTTAAGTTCGTGCACCATCCATCACTGTAGAACAGGAGTGCCCACCAGGCATCACCTCAAAAGACATAAACAACTCCCTATGTAGACAGGGTCACATTCTGCTCTTAGCCATAGCAACACTATATTCTGTTAAGTTACTCTGGATTTCCATTAGTGGAAAACGAGAACAGAATTGGCCTCAAGTAAGAGTCAACCCAAAACCTGTAATAATCGTGGAGTTAAAAATCTGGTGGAAACATTTCTATTGCTAACTGGTCACGTGTGACGAGAATCTGTTAACGCTGTAATTGAGGAATGGAGGGAGGGAAGGATAAGCAGATGTTTGGAGAGCTACGTAAGTAGAAAAACATTCTTTCCTACTTCTCTTACTGACCCCTTATTAAAAAGTGGTTTTACTTGTAAATAGCCAGGAGCTTTCACAAAGAAATATTGTATAGGTCTATTTGCCTCCCCACTCTCTTTCAAGTAAGGAGAAACTAATTATTTCTTTTGCTACCAAGTACTTAGCACCTTGGGAGAAACAATTTAATTTGTTAACAACTGAATCCTTTCACAACTGAAAGTCTTAGTCCACAAAAGGAAGTTCTAAAAAGGTAACCAGCAAGTTAGTCATGCATCCATCTGCTAAATGGGGTCAACGTTTGCCTTGAAAAGGAAACTTCATTTATTTCAAGGAGGCTAAGTCTGTGTTTTGGATCTCTCCTTCCTATGGCTTTGTGCAAGTGCTCAGGGGAAATCCCTTAGAGAGGTCATCTGGCAACTGTGATCACCCCTGCATTCTCCCTCTGCTCCCATGATGTAGGTTCAGCTGCCAGTTGCAGAAACACAGTGGTGGCTTTGGCTTGGTTATAACCAAGGGCTGAGCTTGCAGGTTGTCTCTTTGAAGGGAGGGAGTAACAGCCGATACAGGAGATGATAAACCATTAACTGAAGGTATATATTGCAGAGAAGCCATAGTCAGAGGAACTGCCTTCAACGAGTCACCTGAAGCAGACCATTGGTAAATCCTCTTCATAGTTTCTACTTCTCAGTTTCGTTTCATTTCCATGTCACTCATGACACCACTCCCACAACCAGCTGCTCCACCAACAGCAAAGCCAGCCCCAGGGCAAAGCAACTCTGGAAAGCTGGCACTGTGCCCTCCTCTCCCTCTCCCTCGGGGCAGATTGGAGTGATGAACACTGATGCGTTCACCACTCCTGTTCTACCTTTCCCTTTCATCAGGTGATAAGCATTTGCCCTACAGGCTCTCAACCACTGGGCTAGACTGTGGTAGGAAAATTGGCTGTATGGGAACACTGAGGTATTTAACGGCACGATGCAAGGCAACTAGGATTGACAGTCTTCTGACCAAACATCAGATAGAAACTGTCACAGAATCACAGAATCGTAGAAAATGAGGGTTGGAAGTGACCTCAGGAGGTCATCTAGTCCAACCCCCGATCAAAGCAGCACCATCCCCAATTAGATCAATCCAGCCAAGGCTTTGTCAAGCCAGGCCTTAAAAACCTCCAAGGATGGAGGTTGCACCGCCTGTTTAGGTAACCCATTCAAATGCTTCACAACCCTCCTAGTGAAAAAGTTTTTCCTAATATCCAACCTAAAATTCCCTTGCTGCAACTTGAGACGAGTGGTCCTTGTTCTGTCATCTCCCACCACTGAGAACAGTCCAGCTCCACCCTCTTTCAAACCCCGCTTCAGGTAGTTAAAGGCTGCTATCAAATCCCCCTCAGTCTTCTCTTCTT